AATTCATAGGATTTGATAAGAACGATGTACGCTGCTAAGAATTAAAGTGGGAATTGCCATGTATGGATTTTATATTTTGAGGTGCTTATAATTGCTATCTCTTAACTTTTTCCTCCAAAAGTAGTCTTGGAGGCTGGTGAGATGGCTTAGAGAGTGAAGGCATTCTGTGTCCCAAGTTATGAGTTTAAAAATGTGCACCTAGCCGGGCGGTGGTGGCACACGCCTTTAATCCCAGCACTCGGGAGGCAGAGCCAGGCGGATCTCTGTGAGTTCGAGGCCAGCCTGGGCTACCAAGTGAGTTCCAGGAAAAGGCACAAAGCTACACAGAGAAACCCTGTCTCGAAAAACCCAAAAAAAAAAAAATAAAAAAAAATAAAAAAATGTGCACCTACTCCTAGCCCCTCCTGAATTAAAATGTTAATTATCTTAATGTTGAATTTTAAGTGCTCTTTGTATATCATACAAAGTTTTCACACATACTTCCTTCCCATCTATTTTTTTAAAGAAAGATTTTATTTTCTCTCTCTTTTTTTTTAATATTTTAAATTTATTTTTATTTCACATACATTGGTGTTTTGCCATGGGTGTTGGGTCTCAGGAGCTGGAGTTACAGACAGTTGTGAGCTGCCATGTGGGTGCTGGGAATTGAACCCGGGTCCTCTGGAAGAGCAGTCAGAGCTCTTAATCACTAAGCCATCTCTCCAGCCCCCCCATCTAATTTTTTATCTGTGTGTGTATATAGGGGGTGGTGCTGGGTCTTGCTTGGAATTCTTGATTTTGATGCCTCAGCCTCCTCAATACTAGAATTACAGGCATAAGCTGCCATGCTGTATCATTTTTTAAACAGTGTCTTTAACAGAGAAAAACTTGTTTTCAATGAAGTCTAGTTAAGTATTTTCATGTGTTATGTGTTGCTTTATCTAATAGTCACTGCCATACTTAAAACCTGTGTGAGATCTCTCCTGCTTATCTTCAGTGATTTTGTGTTGAAGCCCACACACATATACAGCTTTAACATTGCATGTTCTGGATCTTCTGACTCTCCAGTTAGTTTATTGGCACAGCAGGTCTTGGTTTTGAAGTGAGAAAAACTTGTGTTGCTTATCTTGCCACAAATGATCATTGAACCAAGTTTGTGCATCCTTTTCTTATTCCAGTTGGAGGGCAGCCACACACCCGAACCAAAGGAAAATGGAGAACAAGGTTGTCTTCAGAACGGTCTTTCTCTACCCATTGTAGAAGAAGGGGAGGTCCTATCTCACTCTCTGGAAGCAGAGCACAGGTGAGGATAAGATGTATGGTGTATAAGACCCTTAAACATACTTAAAACTTAAGAGAGATGTGACCATGAAATCCTGGCCCCAAGTTAGCCATTTGCCCACTGGGCATTCTCTCAGATTTTGTCCCTTTTTTCACAATCCCCATTGTATTTGTGAAGTTTAATTTCAGAATTAAGTTTTAGGGATATAGTCAGGGCAGAGAAGATTTTCCACGGGTGTGTTGTTGGCCCAACCCAGCAATTACTGTAAAATCTCTTTAAAAGGAATTTGAGAAGCCTGGGAATCGTGTATATTGACCCGACTGTTTTAACTGAAGGCCTTGTATATAGGAGAGTAATCTGCCTACTACAGCCATGTAGCAGATGGCACCTGCCAAGTATGGCAGTACTTCTCACAGGAAGCTTGTGGTTCTCAGCCTTCCTAACACTGTGGGCCTTTAGTACAGTTCCTCATGTTGTGGTGACCCCCAGCCATAAAATTATTTTTGTAAATACTTCATAGCTGTAATCTTGCTACTGTTAGGAATAATAATATAAATATCTGATGTGTAGGATATCTGGTATGTGACCCCTGTCAAAGGGTCTTTTGACCTCCCAAAGGGGTTGTACCCCGCAGGTTGAAAACCACTGGTCTGGAGGAACTTCAGGGTTTAGTGAGGTTATGTGAGAGCTCCGCAAAGCCACAAAATTGAAAGAGCTATGGAGCCCAGAGAGGTGTGCAATTTGTTCACAAGGAACAAAGACTAACTTCTTGCTCCTTCTCCGTTTATGTCTATGAGAGCCTTCCTTGTAGCAAGGTTTTTGTTTTGTTTTGTTGTACCATCTTATCTTCTGTTTCTACTCTTTTAATAGGTCATTTTCCCTTTAACCATGAAGAGCCTCCATTTAGATATGAACAACTGAGTAACTTGATCTACTAGGGAGAAGACAAAATCCCTTCTGTAACATCCATTGGCCTTGGGCAGTCATTTTCCACGGGTGCTAGTAAGGCTGCGTGGTCAAGCTTACGAGCATCATGTTTACTTTACTGTCTTTTTGCCTCCTCCAGGTTATTAAAAGCAATGGGATGGCAGGAATATCCTGAAAATGATGAGAGTTGCCTTCCACTCACAGAGGATGAGCTCAAGGAGTTCCACATGAGAACAGAGCAGGTAGGCACTCAGCCCTGAGTGAGCCATCTCTGACACAGAGCTAACTGCTTAAGAGTCTCCTACCCTGTCTTTAGACACCACGTGTGGTGATGATGCACGACTTTAATCCCAGCCTGGTCTACATTGAGTTCCAGGACATCCAGGGCTACCTACACAGGGAAACCCTGTCTCAGAAAAAAAAAAAAAAAAACGGGTTGGAGAGATGGCTCAGTTGTGAAGAGCACTGGCTGCTCTTCCAGAGGACCTGGGTTCAATTCTCAGCACCTACATGGCAGCCCATACCTGTCTGTAACTCCAGTTCCAGGGCATCTGAAACCTTCACACAGACCTACATAAAGGCAAAACACCAATGAACATAAAATAAAAAATTAAAACAAAAAACAGGATCTCATTATATAATCCTGGTAGTTTGGAATGTAGACCAAGTTACTTTAAACCTACAGCAGTCCTCCTGCCTCTGCCTCAGAGTTGTTAAGATTACAGCCATGTCCTACTGAAGCTGGCCAGGAAACTCTAAAATTGAGTGGTGGGTGTCAGACTGCCCATACAGTAGGAATCTCAGAAGATAGAAGCCAGGCCAGTGAGCAGATTTAGAAACTAAGTAACAGGTTCCTTGCTCACAGCTCTAAATTCTTACCAGAACCACAAGGCTGTGCTCTGAGTCTCAGGAAAACCATCCCTGTCCTTCTGGTACTCTGACCAGAGCTAAGTAACCAACAGGCTCATGTAAATTGACTCAGTTGATGCTTGGATTCTTCCTGAGTAAAACACAACCAAATCCTGGGTTTTCAATACCAAAATGAACAAAAGAAATTTCTACAGTCCTCATTTGCATATCCTCTGCAGCCATTCCCCTGCAGCATAGATAATGGGCTGGGGAAAGATAGCTGGTGGTGAAGAAGATATCCAGCTCTTGCATAGGACCTGAGTTGGATTCTTGGCAGCCATGTTGGTTCACAACCACGTGTAACTCCAAAAGGATTTTTGGTCTCTGGCTTCCATGGATACCACACACATAAAAATAAAAATCTGCCGGGCGGTGGTGGCGCACGCCTTTAATCCCAGCACTCGGGAGGCAGAGCCAGGCGGATCTCTGTGAGTTCGAGGCCAGCCTGGGCTACCAAGTGAGTTCCAGGAAAGGCGCAAAGCTACACAGAAAAACCCTGTCTCGAAAAACCAAAAAAAAAATAAAAAATAAAAAAAATAAAAATAAAAATAAAAATCTTAGCCAGGCAGTGGTGGTGCACACCTTTAATTCCAGCACTTGGGAGGCAGAGGCAGGCAGATCTCTGTGAGTTCCAGTCCAGCCTGGTCTACAGAGCGAGTTCTAGGACAGCCAGGGTGGTTACACAGAGAAACTCTGTCTGAAAAAATCCAATAATAATAATAATAATAATCTTTAAAGCATAAATGACACCTGGGATTCTCATAATGGGGCAGTGTGTGCAGGCTGTTTGAAAAGTACCGATTTCAGAGATGTTAGATCTTTTGGGATTCCCCTCCACTCTGCAGTTCCATCTTCATGGACCAGTATAGTCATTGAAGGGTTTTATTTTCTTTCTCTGCTGCATAGCTACGAAGAAATGGGTTTGGAAAGAACGGCTTCACGTTGAGCCGCAGTTCCAACCTGTTCTCTCCTTGGAGAAGCACTATGAATCCCGAGTGTGAGGACTCCGACACAGAAACAAGCAGCAGCGAGACTTCGGATGACGACGCCTGGAAGTAGAATAAGTGCTCACCGTTGACCTGCCCCATGAGCTCAGCTTTGTGTTGAGAGAATATAAAGTGTTCTTTTCCTTTTCTTACGTTGTTGAATACTTCATGCACAAGGGAAATAATCCCATCCCAAAGAGAGAGCAGTTGTCTTGCTTAGCTTTGTTTTGTTCTCTGTTATCTGCTTGATAGAGAGACATTTGTGTGGTGGAATTTTTTAAGTACACACACAGTACCTGTGGGCCGTGCACAAGTAGGAGCTGGCAGTGCAGAGATGCAGGGGAGACGTGGCTCTGCTCAACAGCTTCTACTACCAGCCCTTGGGCACTCACCCCTGTGCTCAAGCAATCATTGTCAATGACAAAGTGACTATTGAAGTTATAATTGTATTAAATTAATGCTAATAATTTGGATATTTTATTTTATTTTTTGGCTGCTCGGGTAACTTAGCCCTTAACCAAGCATATGTGGTTGTTTTTTTGTTTTATTTTTTTGTTGTTGTTTTTTTTTTTCTTTTTTGGGTACAGCTGTAAAATATTTGGATATAGGAAATGTTATTCTTGCAGCCTTGATATTCAGGGTGGATTGTAAAATATGAATTTTTGTGAGATTTCAAAGATTAAGATTATTTTGATAACATTATTTACAGATTTAAAAGATGTGGTTATCACAAGTCTGTTGAGGGGAAAAACTACTGCATAAAATAACTAACGTGGAATAAATATTTTGCATCAGTTTGGATTGTCTTGTGTAAGAAATATATTTTCTTTAAAGTTAGAGAATGGATTCTTTTTTTAGGGGAAATACTTTTTGAGATTTGGAAGAAAACTGAATTCAGCACCACCTGAATTCCTTTTCCTTTCAGCAAAAACTCTTGATGCAGAAGGACCTGTGCAATAAATTATTCATAATAAACTACATTTTCTTTCCTGAAAGAATTTTTTTAGTGCCCAGTATTTACCAGTATGCATGGGTTTGGGGACTTTATGACTTGGTTTTCCTACCTACTATAAGAACTGAGGACATGGGGAGTGAACGAACCGTGGCTGGCCAGTGGCCAGTGAAGTAGTTGTTTCAGAAAAGATGAAACCTTAGAACAAAGTTTTATGGGCTAGAACTTTAACCTTTGGAACTAGCATCCTTTGGTTGTCCTTACTAGATACAAATCAGTATCATTCCTTGATAAGACAGGGAAATGAGGACTATATAAGCTTGAGTGCAATGTTCAAAAAGGAAATGTAGTGTGGCCTCAGCCAGAGGAAAGATGGAGGTAAATGTATCAGGGTATCCACTGCACGATGAAGACCAGGAAGGTAGACTGTGAAGGAGCCTACAGTACAGGACAAGTGACTGAGAATGACAGTGGAGACACAGCAGTGACAGTGATTGACTGTGGGGCTAGCAAGATGGAGTAAGGTTCTTTCCCACTAAGGAACAACTAGCATTCAATCCCTGGGACCACGAGGTGGTACAAGGAGAGAACTGATTCCTGAAACTTAGGTTCTCTGAGTTGTACATGTGCATACAGCATGCACACGTGTGCACACATACACACTAAATGAATAGAGAGACTGGAGAGATGGCTTAGTGGTTAGGAGCACCTAATGTTCTTACAGAGGTCATGGTTTTGGTTCCACACCAATGTCTATTTTAGGGTCACTAAGATGGCTCAATGAGTGAGGTATTGTGCCACCTTTTGATTTCTGGCACTCAAACGCTGGAACAATTGAGTCCCTTGGGCTGTCTTTACCTTCACATGTCTTGGTATGCATATTGCTGACTGTCATATGTACATACAAGCACAAACTAAATGTTAAAAAGCTTTAAGATGTGTTCAGGAAATTTGCAGCTGGGGATGTAGCTCATTGGCAGAACACTTGCATTCAATACCAAGGCACTGCTTAGAATAATACCTAGAACCACAAAACCTGATAAAGATAACCAGTTTCAGTATAATACTCATATCTTGAGTCCTGAAGTAAACATTAAGAAAATAATGTGCTGGGGGCCTGGCGGCTATGGCGTATGCCTTTAATCCCAGCACTCAGGAGGCAGAGCCAGGTGGATCTCTTGAGTTTAAGGCCAGACTGGTCTACAGAGCAAGTTCCAGGACAGCCAGGAGAAAACAAAAGAAAAAAAAAATGTGCTGGACTTGGAGGGATGGCCCTATGGAGTCCTCACTGGCTGCTCTTTCAGTGGTTCAGGATTTGTGAATAGCAGCAGCCATAACCCAACTACAGTCCCTCTTCTAGCCTCCTCAGGAACTGAATGCATTTGGTGCACAAACATACATGCAGGCAGAATACCCATACACAACAACAAAAAGGAAAAAGCACCTTTAAGTCAATGAATGAATATGTTGTTGGGGCTGGACAGATGGCTCAATGGTTAAGAGCCCTGGTTATTTTTTCAGAGTACCCAGGTTCAATTCCCAGCATCCACATGGCACCTCACAACTGTAACTCCAGTCCCAGGGAACCTGACAACTTCATATCAATGTACATTAAATAAATTATAAAAAAAGTTGAAAAAAAATCAAATGTTGAGAAGTGGGTAGAGATGAAGGCTTAGCCATTTACTAGTCTGTCTTGTTTTCAGAACATTTCTAAAGTTACGTTCTTTTTCTCTGTTGGAATTAAGCTGATTTGAGAGTACATACATTGATATGCTTTGTAACGTGTTCCTCACACTTTGGATTTTGGGGGGCAGACATCTTAAGGGCCCTATCTTGTTTAGGAAAGGAGTGCTTCGAAAACTTCTGCTTCTTTATATCCTGGTAAATGCAGAGATGTATGTGGAACTGAAGATAATTTGAACAGTCTTTGGTTCTTTTATCTGATTATATACGCCCCAACCTATCCCCCAGTTTTCATTTCTTGGGCTGTTCAGATCATCTCCGTCTACAGCTGGAAAAACCAGAATGGGGGTTGGGGAGACTACTCCATTGTGTGGTGGGTCAATTCTGTAAGTTTGTGTGGCTTACAGTAATACTGTTACTGTGAGCTTTACTTTGTGTGGAAAAGCTGGCTTCCTGGCAGAAGGCAGCTTCAAGTGTTCCCTGCAGTGGAGAAGAGCAAGTACTCACTTGAATTCTGTCCACTTCAGAGAACAGCAGTGATACAACACTTCCCTGTCAGGCTATGAAATGACCAAAGTGACAAAGGCCCAGTTAGGCGAAGGGGCTGGCTTTTCTATAGGCAAGGAAATTGAAGCTGCTGCCACAGTCTTGGCCAAACTCATGCAATGGGTGGAACAGACTGGGTGACACTTTCTCAAGTGGGGCTCCTCCCAAAGTTGGCAAGGCACATACATCCTCCTGGCATGCCTAGGCCTGTACTTGCTGCCCAGGGAGCTTGGGCACCTCCCCAAACATAAACATAAATTTGAAGATCTTGGAGATGTGATAGAGTTGGCCTTTTCTCTCTGTTCTTTCTCGGCTCCTTTGCCACATCCTCTGTAGGACTCGGCTGGTTTCAGGAAGGGATCACATCCCATGGCCGATTACTCTGGGGAGTCGGGACTTCTGACCTGTGAGTTCTGTGATATGGTTTTCCGCTCCTGGGCTTTGTTGGCTACCCATACCCAGCGATTCTGCATTGGCCAGCTGACTCCGGAGATGACACATGGAACACAGCCTTCAGTAGCCATGGAACAACGGGGCACCACGGTAAGGGTCGCCTATGACTGGGGCTAGGTTTTCCAGCAAACAGTATTCTCAGGAGTCTCCCTGTCCCCAGATTGTGGCACAAGAACAACTGAGCCGTTCAGAGCAGGAGGCCAGCAAATCAGCTCTAAAGATGTTGACAGAGGAGGTACCCAACCACCTACATCAAACATAGCTACAAATTTCGTATCTGTGGATAATGCTTGCGGGAGATCACCCAGTTCAGGGATAGCGGGTCCCCGTTACCTGCAGGTGCAATTGCTGAGGCTGTCGCTACAGAAAATGAGTCCCTGGGCAACTGAGGGTCCCACCTCCCAGACTGCAGGGAGCCCTGGCGAGAGGCTGCGGGCATTGCAGGGAATCCGCGCCAGGCGCGTGGCGGAGACTGAAGCGCAAAGCCGGGCTCTGGAGCGCCGCGGCGAGGGTGAGAGGTAGGGTGGCGTGGACGCTGGGCCTTCCCGCCGTGCTAACACTCACCCTGACTCAGCCCTGTCTCCCTCAGAACTAAAACGGCGCCTCCTTGGCGTAGCGGGACCCAGGGGAGGATTATCCGCGCCATTCGGCCTGGAGCGCCAGCTCCGCGAACTCAGGGCAGAGGCGGGCCGGACGCGCGGCGCTCTGCAGATGCTGGGGGCGCGCGTGCTTGCGCTCCAGCCGCAGCCCAGGTGAGGCTCTCTCCGGAGCCGTGCGGGAGCGCGGGTGGGGCGGGGCCTTGGGCGCAGGTCCGTGACATCATCTCCCCGCGCCAGCATCCAGCGGGACTCTCTCAAGGAGCCTGCGTTCTGTTGCCCTCCGCTACCGGCCAATCCGGGAACGCTGCCCGCCCAGATCCGGTGAGGTCCCGGACGCCAGGGTTATGGGGGGAGGTGGTAGGAGCGGAAGGCTCTTCGGTCTGGAAAGACTGCATCCCGCCGCCTACTTGCTAGGGCTCTACGTGAGGCCTACGTGCGCGGTGGAGGCCGGGACCCCGGAGTTCTGGACAAAATATGGCAGCTGCAAGTGGAGGCGTCAGCCCTGGAGTTGCGGCGGTCGCAGAACCGCAAAGGTGAACAGAAGGGACTAGCCTACAGGGCCTTTCCACACCGAGGTCCTAGACTTGGGAGGAGAAAAGGGTGTGAGGGAGCGCACCAGTAGCATGGGAGCCGGCTGAGCTCAAGGTAGAAAAACCCATTGTCAGCTGACAAATCCAGACTTGTGCAGAAAACCTTAACGTTGGAGAACTACATAAAGGATGACATGTCACTTTAATTCATCTCAGAAAAAGCAAGTGCCACCTCTGAAGAGCTTCTAGTAGTGGAAGCCGAAAACCGGCTTCTGGAGGCAGAGATCCGGACCTTGCAGAAGAAGGGTCTGAGTCTGGCACCCTGGGGTCAGTGAAAACCCACCTCCTCCCTAGCCCATCCCGGGGAACCCAACCCAGGGGAAGGGTGAATGCCTGGAGAATGAGTCCTTGTCTGTATCATCGGTTTGTGTCTATGCACCTATCCTTGTGTCTTTGGTATATGACTCTGTATTCCCCGATGTCTCATTTCAGTTTAAGGCTTCCTCCAGCTCAAGCCAACTTTTTTCTGTTTCTAGGACCCAGGGAGCATCAACTCCCTGATCTCTGGTCACACCAGAGTAGAAGGGGCGATAACTCCCTCCTCCTTCCACCAGTTGCACCCCCAATGTCACCACTTACAAGTTCCATAAATGTCCAGAACTTCCGTGGCACTTCAATGTCTGTGAGGAAGTTGGCAGAGACTGGGTTGAAGGCTGGCAATCCTGACATGCAGTTTGGGGAGCATGGGCAATTTGCAGTTCTCTATGGTTGAACTCTTGTCCACAGCAGATACTTAATGGAACCATGACAAGGAACTTAGGTCTGGATCATCACTACCTCCTACCTGCATCTGATGTTCTAGGCCCTGCACCCTATGATCCTGGGTGAGACATGCTCTCTCCTTTACAGCCTATTAAACTCAGCCACTATAGACATTTAATGGGACCCATATTAGCCATCCACAGTTGGAGTACTGGCTGGGGGGGAGGCATTTGGTGTTTTTGTGCTGAGATTTGTATTCTGCAGGGCTGGCCTTGTCATTTTCTATGACTTCCTGCGGGGCCTTGATGCTTCTTGGGTTTGGGTGCAGCTAATGACAAGCTTGACCCAGGATGGACAGGATATACGAGGGACCACAATATTGCCTCCAGCCCTTTGCCTACCATCACCATCAGCTCCTGGACCTATGGGCAACTGTGCCATCCTTGCAAGCAGGCAGCCTGTAACCAGGTCAGTAGGTGTTGGGCATAAAGGCCTCACCTCATTCTATTTAATCTCTACATAAGGGCCCCTTGGCCCCTGAGGGCTGAGTCCTACAAAATCCCTAGGAAGATACTTTAGTCTTACAACATGGCTTTGGTTGTTGTACAGGTTGCCTCCATCAGCACTGGTATCTTTGATCTGTGAACTACAGGCCTGGCAGGGAGTTACATGGGCACCACAAACAAAGGCTTGGGCCTCACTATTGCTATTTGACCAAGATAAGCATATGCTTAGTGGCCGTTGGCGCCTCCCACTTAGGGTCCTTCCTCCTAACTCCAGCCTCAGCCTTGTCCAGCTGAATGAGATTCCCCAGGTGAGTGCAGAGGGTAGGGACTGGGTCTACTCCAAGATTCAGATAAGAGTACTATTTACCCTCTCCCAGGCAGGTCAAGCTGAGCTCTTTTTGAGGCTGGTGAATGCAAGAGATGCAGATGTTCAGACATTGGCAGAGATCAATCCAGCAAGTGCCCAAGAATACCAGTACCCACCACTGGTAAGAGTCCACTGCAGCTAGGAAGTATGACTGAGCAGCTTCTGCTGGCTAACCAACTTGTATTAGCTAATATGCATCAATGACTACATTAACCCATTTGATCCTTAAAATGTACCCGTTAAATACGGTGGCAGAAATAGAACACTTAACCTGAACCTGCTTTTCTTTATACTTTGTCCAAAACCTGTCTTTTTACCTCAAGTCTGCTTTAAAACAAAACACCCTACCTTTTCATGTTCTACAGGTATCCAGTTCATCTTCAGTGGAAACCAGTCCCTTCGCCCACAGTTCTGGCTTTGCTGATCCCCGACCTCCCACAGAAGAGGCTTTTGTCAGTGTCAAGGATGAGCATTTGAGCCCCCACTAGTTTTGACCTAAACACATCAGGTTTCTGAGTCGGAGGAAGGCAGATTTAGAGCTGCAGCTTTTCTAAATGAGGTTTGGAAGTAATGATAAAGTCCAAGCCAACTAGGACTTTTTCTGCACCCATTTTCCTTTTGTAAAGCAGATCGAGTAAATGATATTCACAGTAACTGCCTGGCATTCAATTTTCTAAAAATAACTAGGCTTTGCTAAAGCCAGCTTTATGGTCAAATTTCATTCTGCTCCCAACTTCTAGACAGAAATCTACGATCTCAAGCTTCCAACATACAGGAAACTCCTGAAGATTGAGACAGCAGGGTAGATTCAGCCAAGTAGAGGATCATATACTGGAATTGCATTCTGGACCCAACTAGAGATCCAATCAGCAAAGATCTTGTACTGGTCATATCTTATACTGGTCATATAAAGTCTGTTCCAGTTGGAAAGACGATGGGGAAAAACACTTAGGACTCAAAATATAACAATACAAAGACATCTCAAGAAGACAGTATGAGCCTAGCCTTAGTGACCAGTCCAAAAATGGAAAAATGACCAATCCAAAAATGGAAAAACTGTCATTCAGCACAACACAGTCCTCAACTGTACATTGATCTCACACTCTAAACTGCTCTAACTAATAACAATGAGGGGAATTAGTGTTTCAATAGTGGCATTTTTTTTTTTTTTTTTTTTTTTTTTTTTTTGGTTTTTCGAGACAGGGTTTCTCTGTGTAGCTTTGCGCCTTTCCTGGGACTCACTTGGTAGCCCAGGCTGGCCTTGAACTCACAGAGATCCGCCTGGCTCTGCCTCCCGAGTGCTGGGATTAAAGGCGTGCGCCACCACCGCCCGGCAATAGTGGCATTTTAAAGAGCCAGTATAAAACAGCTGTTGGGCTCTGTTCTCACTTCATACACCCCAATTGTCAGAGCCCAACGGGATGGCATTAACACCTGACCACCATCCCTCAATTGGACACCCAGAACTGATGGAACAGCTTGCTGCTCTACCCCATATCCCACAATGAGGTACTCCAGGCAACCCAGGTCCCTTCTTATAAAGCCTTTCAAGCATAATTCCAGAACAAGGGCTGTGTTTTAAAATTAGCATATTTATTTTCATAAGGCAAAACTGCAGACAATATAACAATTCAATTATTAACATACTGCAACCTTTCTATACAGAAAAGAACAAACTTTCCTCCTCCAGATTCTTCCAGTCATCCCCACCTCAATTTGAGCCTTTCCAGTCAGAGCTCAAGTCTCAGATTTAACATATCAACTGATCTTCTGGGATCACTTCCCATGTTTCCATCAGTTTTTCCAGGATAGGATCATGGCCTTAATTGGAAACCAGATGAACAGAAAATAGGCACAACACCAACACCTGATTCATAGTCCATCATCCACTTTCGGTACCAAACTGATTTCTACCAGCTCTCGTTTGGCAGACCTCTTCTAGAGACAGCACCAGTGAAAGCGTGCAAGACAATTGAATTCAGCCAAGTATTTGGAAATAGAAACATAGCACCAGTAGACAATGAAGGGCTTCTAGCACACTTGATCACCTCCACATTAGACAGGAAGTGGGTTGTCCAACAGCAATACACAAAATAAACACACACCAAAAACAAAAACCCAGTAGTGCCCCAAGGCATAGATTCCGCCAATATTTAAGAAAAAAGCCATCAAAGCCTTAGCTGTTGCCTACATTCTTTATTGAAGTTATACAAAAAGAATCCCCAAAAGTGAAAAAATACATTATGTACAAAACCACTTTCCCTTGGGAGAAAGGTTCTGCTCCCTCTTAACATGCAGTGCCTTCAACTGTAGCTGTAGACTCCACTGTCCCCTCTGTTGTTGCCGGGCTTTCAGCCTGATTCTCAGCCTGAAAGACAAAGAATCTAGGTATAACTTACCTTGACATAAGCCATCCCATAATATATACCCAAGCAGGCTTCAGTCATAAGTAAACATGGGTGCCCCTGCACTTTGCTATGGGAACAAGAACTACAAAGCCAGCAGTTCACACATTACATGGGAAGGATACAGTCTTGCTTTTCCATACATTGACTAGAGAAATCACAAATAAAATCCCTGTCAGGCATCCTATTACTTCATAAGCAGACAATTTTCAGTACAGTAATTTTCTATGAGTGTCTATAGGCACTTGGAAGGCCTGGCTTCCCAGCCCGGAAGAGCAACAGGAGAGACAAGTAGACAAGTCTTAACTCCCCACCTCAGCCTCCATGCTTTCTGGACCGTCAGTCCCACTGGGGACAGCATCCCCACTGCCTCCATTCAGCTCGGGCTCCTGTTTGGCTTTCTTTGCATCATCTTTCCGGGGACTTTCTTCGTCTGGTTTCCTCTAAAGAGAGAAGTGTGAAGGCTTCATATTTATCTTAAGACAAATGCAAAATAATCCCATAGCCCCCGTGGTGCCCATATCTGGAACATCCTAACTCACAGCTCTATGGATCTGCTGCTATTACAGGGCAATGCTGACCACTACACAGGAATAAACAGGTATGTCCCAGTGTATTTTTATCTTAAAATTTCCCTAGTTGGGACACAGAATTGGTGAGGATGAGCAGTAAAGCTCTGAGAGTACAAACAAGTTACCTACTTTTAGTCAGAAAACACAGAAGCAAACATTTACCACTCAGGGAAAGAATTATTGATTGGAACTGTTGGCAAGTGTCAGCAAGCCTACGACTAAAGAAAACCAGCCAGACCCTAAAATATATTCATCTAATCAAGCCTACTTAGCTTTCCAAATAGCCTCCAGGCTAAGAAGCCATGAGTTTGCTAGGTAAGGTAGTCTAAGTGGAAATGGCCCATGCAAAGCCATAGTCGTTTTGGGTTTTTTTTTTTTTTTTTTTTTTTTTTCGTTTTTTCGAGACAGGGTTTCCCTGTGTAGCTTTGCGCCTTTCCTGGAACTCACTTGGTAGCCCAGGCTGGCCTCGAACTCAGAGATCCACCTGGCTCTGCCTCCCGAGTGCTGGGATTAAAGGCGTGCGCCACCACCGCCCGGCGCCTTAGTCGTTTTAAAAATGAGTGTTGCCCTGTGCCACTTAGAGGGGGAGTCAACTATTGTTAGTATATTATTTCAAACTTCTTACCCTCGAGAGCATTCTGGAGGAAAGGTTAAAAAGTAAGTAAGTACGTGTAAATTTTACCTTCTTTCTGACAAGATGGGAAATATCAGTCACACAATTTGACGAGGAAGCACCATCTGTTGGTTTTCTACTGGCAATCTGGCAAAAATAAGCCTTTGTTATTAGCAATTAGAAAACTTTACTTGATTCATAGTAGGCTCATTTGAAAAACAAAACAAAACACAGTACACACCAGGGAGACTGAGGCACCGGCTCCACCAGGAGTGAAACCTGACGAAGAGCTTTCCACCTGTGAGATACACAGACACAAGTAAGTCGCAGCATGGAACCCCAGCCACCCAGGCTTAAGTCACCACCACACAAGCAACCATGGCTTCGGCATCACAGCAATGTCTTCCACACAAAGACACCCAAGAAACTCATAGTAGGCAGGAAACTAAACCCTCGTGTCCTAAACATAACATTCCCCAGCATGCCAGTGGCCAAGAACAGAGCCAGGCAATTTAGCGTTAAGAGACTCCATGACTTAAGCCATTTCTATATGGTATTGTCAAAAACATTCTACACACAGGTAACACAGTATTTAAACTGAAAGGCAAAGAAATGTCCATGGGCATACAAAGTAGCAGTGACAGACAGTCTATCTGTACACTGGGCACGCTTTCTAACCACTGGACTATTTGGTCTCATTCTCATCAGCTCCTTTAATCGCACACGCCTTTAATCCCAGCACCCGGGAGGCAGAGGCGAACAGATCTGTGAGTTCGAGGGCAGCCTGGTCTACAGAGTGAGTTCTAGAACAGTCACTGTACCTACCATACAAATATGTTATTTAGAAAATTTTAAGATAAAACTCAACAAACCAGAGTAGCTTTCAAGGCCAGTTCAGCTACATTCCCACTCTGCTGAGACTCCTTTGCATCTTCTATCTTTTCTCTAATTTCAGGTAGCAGTTCTTTCAGCTCCTCAATTTCTTTCTCGTATTCAGTAAATGATCCTTCAGCCTCCTTCATCTGCTCATTTAGTACAGCTACAAAGAACAGGCTTCAATCAGTAACAAAGAACCCTTTTTTTTTTCCACACAGTAAATTGCTGCATCACTTAAGCATAGAGTAGCTGCTGTTCACTCACCCATTCTCTTTTCAATTACTTCAATAGATTTGCCAAACTGTGCCACTGCCTCATCATACTGAGAGTTGTAACCGTAGGCCAAACCCAACTGGTAGTGAGTCTCTGCAAGGAGACGGTCATGGGCTTCCAAATACTGTTCTTGGAGGCTTAGGCAAGCCTGGAACTCCTCCACAGCTTGGATATAATTCTCTAATGAATGAAGACAGAACACCAAGAATTGCACAGCATTTAATATAAAGCACTTACAGAAGAATTCAGTTCAGGAATGGATTCTCATTTTACATTTCAAACGGGCCTTGCTATCGCTCTGGCTGACCTAGAAGTTGCTATGTAGACCATGCTGGTCTTGAGCTCAGAGATCCACCTGCTTCTGCCTCCTCCCCTGCTCATTGCTTGGTTTCACTGTCAGGATAAACCATTCACAAGGCTGTTCACTGCTCTAGGCACTAAAAGGAACTTGGACCTATTCTTCTGTCTATAGAAACAGGAAAATGGGGACATGAGGGAAGTTAAGAGATAACAAAATGGAAAATGCATTACCAGACTCAACACTAACTTCTCCAAGTTTAAGATGGGCTTGTGCAGCATAAAGCTGGGCTTCTTTTGTTTCTTGCCTAAAAAGAAAGATGATTAGTAAAGCCTTAAAACTAACTGTCTAATCCTAAAGTGCTATTTTTCAACCACAAATCCACACCAGAAACACCAAGAGTTTTTACCTTTTAAAAATGATCTTTGCTAAATCCAGCATATCCCAGGCAAGCTCTAGGTTCCCAATCTCCTCCTCTTCATTTTCTTGAAGAGACTAAAGTATATCCAAATCATTGGCATTAGGCAGAAGAAGTACAAGACAGGCATCTTTTGAGAATAAATCTAAATACATAATTTACTAACATTTGAAGTAAAGAAAACTGGTTGCAACTCAAA